ATTATTTTTCTAAGGGCTAGATTCTAACAGAACATGTCATTAGGGAAGGGAAAAGGGGGGCACTGCATCTTTCTCAAACTTTAAACAGCATCTGATTATTCTTCAAGGGTTATTTATGTATCTGGACAATTCATTTGTGGTTCAATCTTGTTACGCTTTGCTTTTAAAGAAAGCCACTGTTCAGCTCATATTTGTAACTTTGCTTTGGGTATCATTAGAAATAAAAAGTCAATGGCTGCTCTTTGAATGCAATGTTAATGTTGAATATTATTGAAAAATCTCCTCTGTCAACTCTTTGTGTCTCTTCCAAAGTTGAAATCTTTCTGTTATGCCTCTGTCTCTTCCTAAATAAGTCTCTAGGCATATTTCACAATGACTGAGTTGTTTTAATGTCTCCTGCTAATTCATACAAATTATACTCAATTCCCAAATGCTATCTTACCCGGTTTTCTGAAAGAAGTCTATTTTTGTAGGGAGTACAGTATTTGCCAAGCAATCAGATTTTGATTTCTTTCTTAAAGGAAGCAATTTGGTTAAGTTTACATTTTAAAGAATACTTCTAAATCATAGACTAGAGAAATTAATCATATTCCTTTTGCTTTAGTTCTATTTTTTTAAAAAAATTCTTCATGTTATCCACTCTCCAAGAAAAATTCAGTGTTTTTTTAAAAAGATCAACAAGATGAGCCATGATTTTTTAGGCTATATATTGCGCTTTACTACATCTACCACAGTTTTTATATCATGATGTAATCCACATCTTCCTATATGTGTATAGCTCAGTAACATCTTTCTGGCAGTTCACAAAGACTACTGAATTCATTGAGGAAACAGTAAGTGAAGTATTTTACAGATGGCTTGTATAGCTCAGAAATTAAATCAAGACTTCAAAGTCAGAGGTGGAACTCAGTATTTTCATTAGGATCATTTTTAATCATTGTTTCTTAAAAAATAAGAATCTATTGTTGTTAATTAAACTGAAGGTAATGTGTTACTATAGAAACTAAACATTTGACCAATCGCTTCTTGCTACAGAGGGGCAATCCCTTCTCCGTCTTGGCTTCTGAAGGATACAAAAGTGATAAGAGGTTATGAATGGGGGAACAGATCATTTTGGGGATGGATTTTGGGAAAATGGATTTTGGGAAAAATGGGCATGGAAGAAAAAAAAGAAAAGAAATGAAAGTAGGGTGACTGCTGGAAGAGTCCTGTATGAAAAGGTATTAGAAAATATCACCCAATGGAATGAATGGAAGTGGATATAAGGATGTTTGTTGCTTTAGAGAAAGTATAAATTTAATTAATTGGCTTGAATTATGGAACGTTTTTCATGAGTATGAAGTTGAAGGTTGATTACTATATGCAATAAGAATGGCGTATAGTAAAACAAACCATGCATGAGAATAAATGGATCAACACTGAGTAGGGAGTGGACAAGGATGGGATTCTTTTGGTTGCTTAATGTACTTCTGGACAAATGAATGAGGAATACTTACAGTGACTACAGATGTGTCTTGGGGCTTTCCCCCATAGCAGGGTTAATGTGCTTTCCTCCAATCCACCTGACGTGGCAGAAAAGTATGCTGATACACTTTGCACTGCCTGCATTGCTAAGCCATATTGTGCTTCAGTAATGAGGCTAACAACTGGTGCTGTCCACCCACAAATAATGCAGGACAACTTAGGGAAAGTGATTGATGGATTCCCTGTTGGTGGGCAAATCAACTAACAATTGCTCTCCCTAAGGAGAAATGGTTACACCAGCTGTCAGAATGTAGACCTCAGCTAGCTGTGTGGTAAAATAGGCAATGCATCCCTGCTTGTCTGGATAGAACTAACCCCAACCCTGCATGGATTAGGTACTGCACCATTAAAAATGCCCACCTCGTTTTGGAGGGGGCTGGATGTGTATTTTGTCCAATAAAGCAGGTGACTATAAAGCTGCTCATATCTCTTAAAGCTCCCTGATCCTCCATGGAAGAGGCATCGGAGCATCTGATCCATAAGAAGGATAGGTGAGCACAAAGAGAAGCAGGGCAAGGGGCTCTTTAGCTACCCTCACTAAGCTGCCAGTCCTGCCCCCATATATCAAGAATTGCAGCTTCCTTGCATTGGGAGAGCTAAAGAACTCCCTCAACTTTGTCTTCCTATGCAAGGTTTTGGGGGTGGAGGAGGGGAACAAGTTAAAATAATGGTTGGCAAAAGACCAACTTCCTTCCCATTTCCTTCTGTTCCCTGCTTCCTGGAAGGCAAGAGAAGTGAGGGAATACGAGTGGCTCTTTAGATGTCACCCCTTGTGGTAAGGCTACCCCTGTGTGGATCAGGTACACACACAGCATAATATGCTGGTGCGTATTTCCATGTGTTCAGTGATTTTCCAGGAGGCCATTGCGCACGCATCAAAAAATGCATGTGTCATGCACCAGGTCTGTAGTACCCATTGAGAGTGGGATGGGCAGGTTTACTGCAGGGAAGAGTGGCTAGAGAGCCATTTGCCCTACCTCCCTTCCCCTTAACGGTTCTGTGACCCCACAGATCATCTCCATGGAATCAGGTAACTGGTGGCTAAAGAGCAACTTCTCCCCTTTTCTTGTCATTCTTCCGTACACTGAGAGTCAGTGGATGTGCTGCCACATCTGGATTTCTGAATTTGCAGAAAAATTGGAGAGAGATGGGAGGAAGAAACAGGAATTTGCTATTGGTGTTTGGTAGTTGAGTTAAAGAGGGAGTCCTTTTCCTTGACATCAATAGCTTCTACTTAGCAATCTGAGAACTTAAGAATGAATTAGTGAGAGATAAAAAAAGTTCTACTAGTGCTTAAAAACGCATAAGTAAGGCCAGAGAGACAGGACTTTTCAATTGTGATCTGCGGCAGTTCTGGTATGTTTGGATTCCTACCAGAAAACTAGAAGAAGCTAATCACTTCCCTATTGTTGCTAAGAAAATTACATGGATGTGACCATGAAGTCACCAGAAATTGTGCTCAATTCAGAGAAAATGTTACCTTTTTATACATTTGCCTGAAGAAAAAGCTAGAAGATTGGAGCAATGAGTAGCCACATCTCAGCTGATGAGAGAAGATGAAAGTTTATCAGATCAAACAAAGAAAGCATTATATCAGGAGCTGCAAAAGGAAGACCATCAAACAAAGAAGCAATGCCAGTGAGTAAGAGTGTCAACTATAAGCAGATTTAGAAGCTATTCTACACTAGGGGAACTTAAAAAGATTTAAGAACTTCACACAACAAGAAGGATTGAAACTTTAGGGAAAGAAAAAGAGATACCATGGAACAGGAGACGAGATGGTGGACCCTCAAGGTGAAATGAAATGAAAAGAAATGAAATGAAAAGTAGAACCTTTATAAAGTTCACAGTCTTTGTTGTCTGATGTTTAGAGTATGGAAAACAGATGGAATATGTCTGAATTGTTACTACAGAAAGGCAAGTTTGATTTAATTGTATAATGGAAAGCTGCTGGTATGAATCCTGTGATTGGAATGGAAGGGTGACATGGATCAATCACAGGAAGGCTCTTAGAAAGAAAATCAGGCCTGTCTATCCTAATCTATCCAGGCATATAGAAAATAGTTCAGTTGCTAGAATTCTCATAAGACCATCCATTTCTTCTTAATAATATTGCTAAATGGATACTATGAGAATCATGCTCAGAAAAAATTATTTTTAGTTTTAGGTAGTTGCCAACAAGCCTCATACTATGATACAGAGAAAACTGAGGTCCAGCTGGTAAACTTGCTGTTGATGAATGATGAGAAAGTTGGGTGGACCAGGTATTCCACAAGAAGATGTAACAGCAGAATGAACCATGATTGTTAAGACCACCATGGTATGATGAAGACACAATTGGCTGAATTCCTGCAAATTTTTGAAAGAACTCTTGTCAGAAGGGGAATTGGCGGGAAAAGGTATAATACAGGTCCATTTTACAAGAAGAGGAAGGCATCCCCTAGAGACAGAAAAATTGCTTTTGGGACTATCCTGGCAGGATTTCACAAAGGCCATAGTGGAGTCATGAAGTATCTATTTGTCACCTTTAGGTATATTAGGATAAATGCAGAACAAAGAATACAGCAATGCCAAAGTCCCAGTGAATGTGAGCAATGCACAGTGGTTGTTGGGGTACTTACAGTTAAGCTTATCCTCTTCAGTTCTCATAGATTAACTTCGAAAATAGCAGAACTACTTAACCCAAATTTGGAAAAATTTTTGATGCTTTGCTGCAATTTGAAGTAGTCCCCAGAAAAACAATGGAGAAGAAGTTTCTTAATCTCAAAGTCTTTGTGCAAAGTGCTTTTGGTTTCTAAGACAGGTTTTCCCTTAGCGAGCTCTTTAAAAAAAGTTTTCTAATAGTCATAGCAATTGTTTTCTCAAGAGATTATTTGACGATAATAATCTCTCAGGCAACCTAGAGAATGGGACACAATGCCCTTGCCCTGTGGAAGTAAGCCCGGGTTATGAGAGCATCCTGTGAAGGTAGACATTCCATCTTAGCCTCTGTTTCTTGAGAAAGTAATCTCTTTAGTTAAGAAATCAGCTTCAGCTCAGGTAAGCTGGAGAAGAATTCAGTGTTTTTCAATGTTTGCCTCGCTTTTAAGGGGAGCATTACTGAATTCCTGAAACAGTAAAGCACTGTTCTAGGTTCAATGTAGCCACTTCTGAATTCTCAGACTTGCAATGATAAAAGCTTTCCAGTTTATTTGTTTCCAGTCTGTGGACACTGCTGTTGTTTGTGGTTCCTAAAAATGAATGCACTAGTCCAAATACATTCAACTGTTGAGCCACCTATCAGCAATCACTTCCATTTCTCAGATTTCTATTTATGCACAAGGATGTGTGTGGTCAAGGCTGGAAATACACATTTCTTTCTAAGACAGAGAAACTGGCAATAAGATTTAAGAGTGCACCAAAGGAAAGTTACACCGACTGGTTCTTCCAATATTCTCAACACATCCGTTTTGCCTGAGTTGTAAGCGGCAACTTACCGTGGGTTGGAATGGGAAAGAGGGTTCATTTCTTTCTGATAGTGACTTCCTTGATTAACAGGCTGTGGAAGATACAAGAAATAACAAGTGAAACAATTATTTTCCCTGTGCTCTCTCGATATACATAAATCTGAACTGTTATTAACTATTTAGCAAAATAAATTCTGGAGTGTAATTTTCACAGAAAGTAAAGCATTTACTTTCCTAGTTCCAAAAATTCCAAAAAGAGGATGGTGGAAATATGGAGGGACAACAAGAAACACATCTGTGTTCAAATAGTAAGATAATATATTATTATATTGAATGAAACAATGACATGATATTGTGATGGATAAGCAAAATATCAAGGTTTGGAAAGAATAATTAGTAGTAATCATTTTCTCTCTCACACCCCATTCCACCCCCACACGGGAGAGACTCCTTCCATACTTCCACAGGCTTCACCCTCCAAAACCTCAAAAATACTTCAAACCAGTTCAGTGCTCAGTTGTCCTTCACAGAGATAACTTAGAAATGCTGAGACTTTCCATGTGTCAGTTAGTGTACTCTTGCTGATCAAAAAGAGAGCATAAAAATGCCACTCAGACAGCACTTACCCCCTTCCATGCTGTGCTTGTTTAGCGAGTTGTAAAAAATAAGAGTGCTATGTGCACTTGTTAAAATAGGACAGAAGTGCCATAGCGCGATCCTTCATGTCCCAAACTTAACAGAACTGTGAGTGGTGAAAGATAGCATTTTCCCCATAGAGGTTCAGCATCACCACACTGAGCCTCTATGGGGAAGGACGAGAGCGCCAGAGTGAAAATTCCTACCATGTCCCAGGAACGTTTTCCTGACCAGCCAATCTTACATGTTTAGACCAGCGAGATACTTAAACAACATTACAGTATCCAAGCTGAGAAGGGCTTTAACATTGGCTCCATTTAATGTTCTTCATTCAGCCATTCTGGAAGGCTGAAAAAAAAAAAAATCCATATGCTGCTTGATTATGTCCATGTGCTACAGGCGCTGTAGAATCTTCTGCCCTCATTTTACTACTGCTGATTTTATACAGATATTAGAATCCATTTTATTCCCCCTCACCTGGTAACCTACCCAAGCCACTTGGATACTTTCTACATGTAAATTCTGCTTTCTGATCAAAGGAACT